TGTAGCTGTAAGAACAGTGCAGCAGGTCCAAGCCTGGCCAGGTAATGACTGACTGCTCCATGAGCTGAGTTCCGTTGTTTTAATGTTCTGAGATGTTCGTTTACTCAACTGTATCTCTTCTCGGTTCCTGCTCCCTCTAGTCTCTATTTATACTGTTGGATGACGGTTAAAATAAATTTTGGTTTTGGGAGGGTTCATATTTTCCAGCTTAGTTGGGCCTTCAGAACTGCTTGCTGCTATTGCCCCTCTTCCCCTCCGCCAATTCTCTGCAGCTTTTAGTCTTGTCTACCCTTTTCACACCCAGACCTCTCAGATGGTGGCTTCACTTATGCTTCCCTGAGAAAACTATCCAAAAGGAACCCAATTCCCTCACCTCTCCTCAGATCTGCTCACTCTTTCCACATTGCTGTGGTCTCATTGGAGCACAGCCCCTTCACTGCAACCGTGGACTCTGTTTTTCTAAAGGTCTTTCCCTCTCTCACCTGTAATTTCAGCCTTTCCACATGCTTGTCTCCTTAGCTGGCAGACATGCTCCAGCCTCCTTCCAGAACCTACCTCCTCAGGCTGTAATTGCTTTTTTACTTCCATCCTGTCGAGGTTATTTTGGGCTGCGAGCTGACCCACAGCCACTAGGAGCAGCAAAGGTCAGTGTCAGACACAGCCAACCTCCCCTGTGGTAACACAGAGTGCCCTCAGACCTTGCCAAACTGCCCTGACGTGCCACCTGCCTCCTCAGAACTCTGTCCCCTGACTTTGTGCACCCAGGGGCTGCCCCAAGCCCCACCGTGTCAGCTGCTTTTCCCTGCGCCTCACTGTATGTTTCCATGGCCCAGGCTATGGCTGTTGGCCCTGTAGGTTCCACAGTCCCCATGGTTTACTGTCCACCTGGCTCAGTAGTGCTAGTGAAAGGAGGGTATGGTGGAGTGCCAGGTTTGGAGCGGGGGCTGTGCTGGCAGCATTCCTCTCCACCCCAGGACGTCCTCCAGTGCTGCTCAGCTTGCAGTCCTGCAGGAGCCAGTGTCCCTGTGACTCAGCGGGAAGGAAACTCCTTCACTGGTGGCTCAGATGGTGGCCATGCCATCTGGTGAGGAACCAAGGCCACCTCTGTATCAGGAAAGACATCAAGTAACTTTAGCACTTCTCACGATATAACTGCTTTAGCCATATTAACCTGAAGTTGCAATTTACACACATGTTGTTGGGTGTCTTCCTGGTGCCCAGACTTGGGCACACTTTTCATGTACTGGGTAGAAGTACCTCCCTAAAGCATTTTGAAGTAGGGGAGTACCCATTCATAAAATGAATAGGGAGGCGGCAGCTCTAAGGATCTTCCTTTATAATTCCTCAGGAGTAATAATACTGTACCATACCAGTCTTTGCTTTTAGTAATAAGACATCAAATTAGGTTTGGAAGGAACCTTTGATCTTCCTAAGAATTAAAGTTGCCATGTTATTTTGATAGTTTTGGTTTTTTTAAGATTTTTTTATTGGGGCATTGGGGGAGGGAACAGCGTTGGGGAATCCGGGAAGGGGAACAGACAGTTTCTGTCCTTTTGTTCTTCAGTCTAGTTGTTGTCCTTTTGTTCTTCAGTCAAGTTGTGGAGGATGTCGCTTCACTGGCCCATGTTGATATTATCATTGCGCTCTTCCCGGCTGAGGCAGATGAGTCGCCGGCCATTGGACGGCTGCTCAGGCAGCTCACAAAAGCTCACGCTCACTGCCGGCCAGCCCCACTGCAGCCTACACCATCGCCGGCAACTCACGGCAGCCCAGCTCCAGGTCGAGCTGTTGTTCACCATCTTAGCTGTAGAGGGCATAGCGTCACTGGCCCATGTGGGATCTGAATTGGCGGCCCTGCTGCTCAGAGCTTGCACTCCCAAGCCAACTCTTAACCAGTGAGCCACTCGGCCAGCTCTTGATGGGTCTTTGTTAATCTCCTTTAAGTATTTAATTTTTGTCACTTATTTTCTGTTGTTGTATGCCTTTTCCTTTCCATCCTTTGCTCCACATGCCCCTCTCAACCCTAGTCTTCCCGCCAGTCTCCACTGGATCAATGGTACAGGACAGAGAGCCAGGCACACTAGTGTCTCCTCTCCTTGCCCTCTCCCCACTTGTCAGCTTTTCCATAGTCGCTCACAAGGATATTCTGAAAACCCTTGTGCCCCAAGCACAGACTCCTTTACCTCTGCTTTTGCATTTTCTGCCTGAAAAAGTCCTTAAAAGTCCTCAGGCAGAAGTGGAGGGTGCCTTTTTGGTCTCTTCATAGGTTGTCTCTTCATATACCAACCAAACCCAGGTTTGCTTGGGTGCCAGAAAAACTGAACTTTATTTGAACGAAGGATATCAACACAGACAGTACTTCGCAATACTATTTTTACAGCAGTTCGTTTAAAATATGAGGGGCAATGAGGAAGGTGCATTTAAAAAGCCTGATGACATTAGAGCCAAATTAAAGGGAGTTTTCAGATCAGAAATTACCATTTATTGTCAGAGAGCCTGATGCAGGCATTCATGGCTTCCAGAATTCCTAAGCTGGGTGAATAGGTCATATTGTGACTGCCTTACTGAAAAGTGATTTGAGGCCAGTGAAATCTTATTAGGGTTAGGGGTATTTTGGGATCCTTAATATTTTGATTTTCATTCTGTGAAATTGGATTTTATCTTATAATTTCAGTTCATCTAAATGTTGTGTTCTGTTTATGTGATATTTGACTGTATTGTTGACTGTTAGGGAAGCTCAGCATTGTAGGTTTCTCTCTGCATTGTGGTGCACTTTTGTGAAATTTTTTGTACTAAAAATGTAGACTAAAGACTATTCTGAAGATTTGAATAAAGTGAAGACATTGCGTCACAGAAAAAAAAAGAGGTCATTTCCTCCACAGTAATCCCTCAGTGTCCACAGTTCAGCTGTCACCATGATGTCGTCCCACCAAAGTGCTTGTGGGTCACCAGTGCCCTCTTCTTTGGCAAATCCAGCGACCCCATACTGTCAGCCTGCTTTCCTCTCTGCAGCATCTGACTTTGTTGCTAATCCCCTGTCCTGAGCTCCTCCTCTCCAGGCTTCCCTAACACCATTCTCCTGGGTCTTCTTCTTTCCCCTCTGCTCCTTCTCATTCCCCTTTGGCCCAATAAAGTGAGGTGCTTTTGTGGTGTTGTCCTGGGTCTTCACTTCCTCTGCTGTTGGTCTCTGGGCTCTGATATTCACTGTCATGGTTTCACCTAACTCCTTGCTAATAAATCCAGCTGTGGTCTTTTTCTTCAGTTTTAGACCAAACTATAACTAAAACTAGACAGTGCGCTTGACAGAAACCTTTTCAGTGTATTCCAAAAGTACCACAAACTCAAAATTTTCAGTTAATATATTTTCCCCAAACAGGCTAAAACCCCGACAGTAAACCTTGACTCTTCCTTTTCCTTTACCCCTGCCCTACTGAATCTGGGCAAGTTGTCAGGTTGACTGACTGTCCCTGAGGGTGACCAGCAGCATTTTGTATGTCCAAACTGTCATTGCCATCCCCGCTGCTGCCACCCAAGTTCACAACTTTGTTCTCTCCCCTGAGCATTCCAGTGTCTGCCTCCATTTTCTTAGGTCTTCCAGAATTGCTGAATGTCGGCCTGAGCATGGTAGTCCTTTCCTCAGTTGCCCTCCAATGTCTCCAAAGTAGCATCCCACCTCTTGGTGGTCAGGGCCCTTTGGAGTCTTGTCCCAGATAACTTTCAACCTTGTGTCTCACAGCCTCTCTAGGAGCCATTTCCCAAAGCTCTGTGAAGTTCTGTACTTCTGGGGATGTACTTGTGCTGTTCCTGCTCTAACTGCCCATTATTTTTTATCCTTTCCGCCTAGAAAATCCTTCAGAGCCCAGTGTAAGGTCTTCTCTGTGAAGTCTTCATCTTCGAGTCTATATGTTTATGGATTTCTGAGAAGTAGAACTTGACTGTAACTTCCTTAGTAATGACTGCTATTTATGGAGAAATTACGGTGTGACAGTCAGTGTTGTATACATTGTGAATACTAGAAGCAGATGGTTAAGAGCACGAGCTTTGGGGGTTGAGTCCCAGCTCTGCCATTTACTAGCTCTGTAATCTTGGACAAATTATTTACCATCTGAGCGTCAGTTAAGTCTGTGGGTTAAATGTGCTTGCCTGAGGGAAAGTAAGCAGTACATGGTCGCTGCCGCCACTATCCAGGGTAAAATTTTCATTCTTCCTCACCCTTGTGAGATAGTAAATACATTATCGTGCCTGTTTTACAGGTGATGAAACCGAGGCTCAGGGAGGCTGGGTAACTTGTGCTGCTTCCCCAAACACACAACTCTGGGAATTGTGGCTTACTCATCTTTTTATTACAGAATACCTTTAAACTCAATAAGCCCTTATTTAATTGAATTGAAAGATGAATTTGGAGTCCAGGGTTAGATTGAGAGAGAAATTTGTAAGTTGTTACCTGCACAGGGGTGGCAATTGAAGTCATTCTCTTTTAAGTCCTGACATCATTGAGAGTCCACACATTTCAACCATTCCTTCAGCAATGAGTTGTATATTGCCACGTGACAGATGGCAATTATTATCTTCAACTGTTACTTAAGTCTTTTGTACAATTGGCTTGTATTGTCTCTTCCCAGCTGGATTGTAAGCTCTTTGAGGGCAGAAGACTGTACATTGTCCTACTTGACGAGTACTTGCTATAATTTAAATTAAGAAAACATTTTTTTCACATTTTCCAAATAAAATGTATTAAAGCTGCACCTCTATTTGCTCCATTTCTTATAATCCAAGCCTCTGTATCCTATAGGATTCTAATACGCGTTTGGACCTTTGAGTAAGTCACTGACACAGGACCCCCAGTTCCTGTTCCCATCCTGCCATCTTATAGTTGGAGAAACTGAGGGCCACGTTCCAAGTTGTTCTCTCCTGATAAAGTGTTCACTAAACAGCTTGATCAAGACTCAAGATCCTTAGGGTATGAGAGTTTTAAGTGCTTTGTGCTTTTCTTTTGACAGAGCTGAAAAACTTCAGCTGCTGAATCATAGGCCTATGACTGCTGTTGAGATCCAGCTGGTGAGTGAAGGAGGCCTGAACTTGGGCGGTTCCTGGGTATGAGATGTAGAAAGCATGATGAAGGCTGAGAACAGACAGCCAGCAACTGACATTTCTTGAGAAGACTGCTGGACCACCCCATTTTATAACTGAAAGGAAACCTCACTGATTTGATCCGAGCTAGTATGGACTTAGGGAAGGTGGAAGACTGGAGGAAATGTAATTCCTTCTATAGGATTTGGGCCTGTGACTTGGTAGCAATTTATCTCCCCTGATGTCCTCCCCATTCTGGCCAGTGCTTCCCTGTAGGGTTATTGCCAACCCAGATGTTGCATGAAAACATTAGATTCAACATGACTCTGGTGTAAATCACCCCCGACCCCTCACCCTTTGACCTACTCTTCCTGAGTTCTTTTCTTGATTAGTGGCGCATCTGTGCACTTTCCCACATGCCCTTTTTCTCTCTCACCCTCCTGGCCTAGTCTCCCAAGGCAGAAACCTGGAAGCTATTCTCTTCCTTTTATCTCATGTTCAGGTTCTACTGCTTCCGTCTCCTCTTAGTCTTTCTTCTCTCCCCGCAGTGTTGTATTACTTTCTGTCATCATGTCTCAACTCAGCTCTTGGAGTTACCCTCTCACCATTTTCCTGCCCCGAGTCTGGTCCCTCCAGTCTATCTTCTATACCACCATCACAGTTCACTTTCTAAAACCACATATTTGATTATCTTATCCCCCTGCATAAAACCTCTCTTTGGAGCCTCATTGCTTGGGAAGTCTAAATTGCAGTTATGGCAGCTGGGGTAGGACACAGAGGTGGTGTGAGGGGCATGTGAAAATGAGGCTTGGTAACAGACTGAATGGTGGCCGCATTGACACGCTTGGCACTTTCTGTCTGTTGTACAGAGCAGAGAGCATCATTAAGCTGAATATACTGGGCAGGCCATTTAACTACCAGTAAGAAACTGTGCCTGGAGAATTAATAAAATGAGAATAAAACTTTCCAAAGTCAGTTTTAGAAGTACAGCTCTTTGTCAAATTTCCTGCAGAAAAGTATGGAAGAAAATGGCCCCAAACACCTTGATCTTTAGAGTTGCTTAAAAACAAACAAACAAAAAACCCTTTAAAGGATCATGGTATCTCCCCTGCAAGGTAAGTAAAGGATGATGGGGTATTTAATTTTTGACTAAAACTTACTGTCTTTGTGGTGGTGTTCTACCCTTCAAAATGCACTCAAAATTGAATTAGAAGAATTCTTTCCACAAAGGGTGCCTTTCTAGGGGAACTGGCCTTTAGGCTACATAGAGAGTCTTTTTTGTGCCCTCATTCTTCTGATACATTCGACTGTTGTGGAGATTCCACTTAGAAAAGAAAAAAAACAAACAAAACAGCAAGAAACTAATCCATGTCCCTCTGGGTTAAAGATCACATGTCATGTCTCCTCCAACTTTAATCAGTAACGTATGTTATTCATGGCTTAATGACAGATGGAGAGAAGAGATGCAGAAGGATTAGCGTGATCTCATCCCAGAGCCTGTAGAAAGCTGTCATTACTTGGTGAGATTAACTGCTCTGAAGAGTGCCTGCTGTATGCCAGACGTGGTGTGGGGCTTTGTATATGTCGTCTGTAATGCCCCACCATAGTCTTGGCCAGCGAGAGGCTGACTTGGGTCTGATTCAAAGTCTTACTGTGTCCCTCCAAGCCACGTGCTTTTCCATGGTGAGAAGATAGGTGCGTGTGGCGTGCCCTCAGACTGTTTGTTCTCAGCTTTCCATGGTAAAAATGGTGTATGTTGTTTCCTGGTAGTTGGACCACTTATAGCCAGAATTTTCCCAGACTGGGATTTGGCTATAAAAGATAGCCAGTCCTTTACCAAGGCTTGTAGCAGTATCTCTTCTCACCAGAGAGGGATAAGAAATTAGGTTTTCACATAGAGCGGAAAGTGCCAAGGACCTGAGAATGTCCCCATGTGAACTTGACAATTATTTATTCATCCTAGGTCCTGAAGCAATCCCAGCATCTAACATTTGTTAGTGTTCAGTTTTTGAGGCTGAAGCCTCTCTTTTCCAGTTATACCTCAGCCATGATTTGTTATGATCCTCAGAAGCATAGGTGACTGCTGTCTGAAGAAATGAGGAAGCCACCCAGCCTCTGACTTCTGCCATTCCTGGTTGTGTTTTCATTTGGGACAGCCCTCTGGTCGGAAGACAGGACAGTGAACCCCATCACCTCACAGGCCACTGTTGTGAGGCACTACCCATCTGTGCCTGTGAAAATTTAGTGAATATAAAAGGTCTTGAATTATATATAGTTTTATGGCTTACAAAACACTATAATGTGTATTCTCATTTGGTCCTTACTATGGGCATTACTTTCATTTTATATTAAAGGAAATTGAGATTTACAGAGGTTAAGTGAACTTAACTTTCAGCTATTCTGGGTCAAATAGCTGAAAGTGTTAGTGGCTATTAGATTTTGAGATGTTTTGAGGAAAGTAGGAGGTTAGGTTTGGCAGCGTAGAATGAGAAAAAGCCATTTTGGGAATACACCAGCTCAGTTTGACAGCTCCTGGGAATTGACATAATACTGGTATATGAATTTTTTTTTTTTTTTTTTTTTTTTTTTTTTTTTTTT